TACGCACCCGCCTCTGTGCAGCAAAAAATGTGCGCCCAACAATGCAAGGAAAGCTTAACGTCGAAAAGCTGCAATCACAACAGACGGCCAATTTATTCGCCACTCGACTCACACACCTGCTCTCTGAGAGCACTCTTCAACAATCCGACGTACGCGAGCAGTGGAACCACATTTCCCGATCATTAAGTACCGCCGCCGAAGAAGTAGTTGGATTTCAGCGAGCCCGAAAGAACAACTGGTACGATGAGGAATGTCAAGAAGCCGCAGAGAAAAAAGATGCCGCCTACAGGGCCACGCTGCGATCGGGCGCAACGCGAGCCATGTGGGACCGTTATAGGGAACTGAAGAAGGAAGCGAGACGTATTTGCCGCAATAAGAAGAGAGAGGCCGAAATACGTGAGTGCGAAGAGCTTGAGATGCTGGCCGACAGGAAGAACGCCCGAAAATTCTACCAGAGGGTTAGGCGACTTACGGAAGGTTTCAAGACCGGGGCGAACTCCTGTAAGAACAACAATGGCGACCTAGTGACCGATGTCCAGAATATACTTAAATTGTGGAGGGAACACTTTTATAACCTACTGAATGGTAGCAGCGCTGAAAGTAGTGAGGAAGACGAACCCGAGTCCCCAGTCGATGATGATGGAGTAGCTGTCCCACCGCCTGACTATGACGAGGTACGAATAGCGATTACGCGGCTGAAAAACAACAAAGCTGCTGGAGCTGACGGCCTGCCAGCCGAGCTATTCAAGTACGGCGGCGAGGAGCTGATGAGGTGCATGCATCAGCTCGTATGCAGAATATGGTCAGATGAACGCATGCCCGACGACTGGAATTTAAGTGTGCTCTGCCCAATCCACAAGAAAGGCGACCCCGCCATACGCGCCAACTACCGCGGAATTAGCCTTCTAAGCATAGGTTACAAGGTCTTATCGAGCGTATTGTGCGAAAGACTGAAGCCCACCGTCAACGAGCTGATTAGACCTTATCAGTGTGGCTTTAGGCCGGGAAAATCCACCATAGATCAGGTATTCACAATACGCCAAATCTTGGAAAAGACCCGCGAGAATAGGATCGACACACACCATCTATTTGTCGATTTCAAAGCCGCTTCGACAGCACGAAGAGAAGTTGCCTTTATGCCGCGATGTCTGAATTTGGTATCCCCGCGAAACTAATACGGCTGTGTAAAATGACGTTGAGCAATACCACCAGCTCCGTCAGAATAGGGAAGGACCTCTCCGAGCCGTTTGATACCAAACGAGGTTTCAGACAAGGGGACTCCCTTTCGTGTGATTTCTTTAATCTGATGTTGGAGAAGATAATAAGAGCCGCAGAACTGAACCGCTCAGGCACAATACTTTACAAGAGCGTACAATTGCTGGCGTATGCCGACGACATCGATATTATCGG